TAGCATGTATGTGTGCATGTACGGAGTACTCAGTTTGAACTCTAATCGATGTTTCTGTTTACTGTACTTGTTTGTTCCCCGTTGCCCGATTTGGCTTTGCCCTGTGGAGACGATGGTGGTCAACTGCATGCACAGACACCGAGAAACGTCGGCCCTGTTGGACAGGACAAAAATACTGTTCTATTACTAGAAAAGTACAGTTCTATAGCAGAACTGGTTCCGGCTGATAAGCTCGAGCCAACAAGGCTGTGAGACAGCAAGGGGCAGGCCGACAGGCTGACAATCGCGAACCTTTGCATCGAAAGTCACGGCCTGTTTGTTCGCGTAAACGATAGTAAATTATTTACCGCTGACTGATTTTATGTGAGAAAAAATATTATTTTAATTTAATACATGATATATGCAATCGAACATATTGATGTATGACCATATGGGCGCGTACCTGCAAGGCTGCTGTAGAGGATAGAAGCTCGAGCTGAGCTCCCACCGTAGCGCCGGCGAGCAATGGGCCTGTTTTCAGCAGAAGCAGCAGCGGCTCAGTCACCATCCTCCAATGGCAGCTCTGCAAGGTTGATAGCAAAAGACAAAAGAGTCTTAGATAGGATTACTTTTTATTTGACAGTATTTAACATTTGAATCATGATTTTGAAAAATAGATATATTATTAAATCCAACTTTAAATATATTCCTAAAAAGTTGAGTCTATAATATAATGCTGATTTTTTTTTGATAAATTTATTAAGTTTCTGTAAACTTGAGTCCACAAATTATGCCGATCTCACTCCAACTTAATTTTAGACATTATACTCATAATTAAATTACTTAACATGGCACTGCATATAGAAAATGACATCAAATTATTGAATTGATAGAACATAATTACTCCTATTCAAAGATATTACTCAATTTATATGTTGATTTTTTTTACATTTGGATTAGGATTCTATGAGATCCTTACGTCATAGGATCCAGCACTTGGGATCATGCTACACTATAGCATAGCATTATAAGACCTTCCGCAACCCGCTCGGAAAAAAATTGGACCCACCTTAAATAGTGGGCACCGAATTTTGAACCAAGCCATTTGTACTGGCTGTGACAAAAAAAAACACTGTTTACATGGCTAAAAAAATAGGGCTGGTTATTTTTTTCAGTCATGGAACAATGTTTTTTTCTCCCTATAAATCAGCCATAGCAATAATAAATACTGGTAGAACAGAGCAAAAGTAAGGTCACTGTTCTCCTTTTCCACCTTACTGGTTCTGTTTTGGCTGAACTAAAGAGAAGCAATAAAATATTTTTTATTGTTTGGGCATGTAGTTGCCTCGCTCTCAAATTTTTAAGCATAGCTAGAAACGAGCATTGGCCTTTGCAATGTGTCAAATAATGCTTCGTTCTTCTCTCTCCTCTTTGCACATCACTCGGGGATTTTTTTTTTATTTTTAACATTTTTTTAAACTAATTTTAAATCTAACACTGTTTTATTTTTTTTCTTCAAAATTAACACTTTTGGCCGCGCCTATTGCTATGGTGCGGCGAAACGCCTGTGCCGCGCCATGCATGGTGGCGCGGCGGGAGGATGACGTGGTGACGACCGAGGCGCTGACCGATGACGTGGCATGGTCTGCCGTGCCATAGCCCATGGCGCGGCACTAACGCGCCAAGGCTCACGACGCGGCAGGACCTGGACGCAGATAGAAGACCAGCCTCAATTGCAATTGAACGGGAGCTGCTGTCGGTGAGGATCGGCAGCGACGCGACCATGGACCCGGCTTCGCTTCGCAGCTGAACGACACCTGCAGCTCTGACCCCAACGCCTTCGCCTTCCTCGACCCCTCGCTGGTGGGCTTCGACAATGCCTTCTACCGGAACCTGCAGGTCGGCAAGGGCCTCCTAGGCTCCGACCAGGTGCTCTACTCCAACATGAGGTCGCAAGCACGGTCAACTACTACGCATCCAACCAGGGTGCCTTCTTCGGCGATTTCATGGCAGCGATGACCAAGCTCGGGAGGATCGAGGTCAAGATGCCGGCCACCGGCGGCAAGATATGCCGGGACTGCCGGTTCCCGAACTAGTTGCTAGTTAATCTCACCGGCAGTGCTAGCGCGACGCATTGAAATGAATATGAAGCAAATAAATAGAGTCTGTGCGCAAGTTGACAAGTTGTCACATAACATTTGTTCGACATAAGTTTTGGACGACAATATTTGTTTGACATAAGTTCGACATAACCAACTAAGTCCTAGGAGTGTAAGAATCCCTTGGACGCCTCTGTCCCTTCGAATTTGTAGGCAACTGTCGATGTTTTATCACCGATAGCCTGCCACGGGGGTACCCGGGATAGTTGTTTGGGCTTTGGCGAATAGCGGAATTCGGCGGTTACGCAAAAAGACTCATGATTTATACTGGTTCAGGCCCTCGACTTGGTCGAGTAATAACCTTACATCTAGTTTTGGCGTTAGCCTATTTGCGTTGTATTGCTTTGAGTATCGGGTATGCGTTCTCTCCTTACAATGGGTACCCTCACCAGCCCTTTATAGTCCATCGCTGAGAGGCGTTGTTTGTGTCCTATTTGGATACAAGGTTAGAGTCCTAAGCTACGCTTCAGCGCCTTTTCTTGTATAGTTTGCGTTGGAGTTTCACTTTTGCACGTTGCTTTGCTCCGCGTTCTTCTTGGCGATTGGGCTATAGGCCTTGTTACCAAGGCCTACCTCCCTGCAGTATAGTCTATGGGGGGCCCGTAGGGTTCCCCATCGACAAGCCCCTGAGCATTTCATGATTGAGCTTCAAGGGTCGAGTTGTTGTAGTCTTGATCCGGGTCCTTCTTGAAGTGAAATCTTGAGATAGTCTTCTTTGATTCTTCTTTTGGCTGATGGGCACTTTTGCTTGATGTCCTCCGGGTTCTTTTTCCTTTGAGTGCAGCGAGTGCAATTTGCACTCATTGAGTGTAGCCCCCGAGCCTCTTATTTTTTTGGTACAAAAAAGTTGGAGGGTCAAAAAATTTGAAAATATGTTTTTCTGTGGTAGGTACTTGCATCCCCCGAGTCTTCTCCGGGTTCTTTTCTGTTAAAAAGAAGCCGGAAGAAGGGTCTTGATTTATACTCCTTTGGTCTTTGTCTTTTGCTGGTCACGGATGGGTTTTGTATAGCCATGAGTGAGCGTCTTCTTTTACTTTTTGTCAGGAATCTTGCTTTTGGGCACTATTTCACCTTTGTTGCTTTGCTCTTTTATTCTTTTTCTCTCTCTTTCTTGTGATTTTTAGCCTTGTTTACCTCTCGATTTGCTATAAATACCTTCTTTGTTGGTTGTGGTTACGCCTTGAGTAGGAAAATTCTTCTTCAATTCTTTCTTCATTCGTAGATATCTTTGGTGTGTGAGGTTGAGCAGCCCCGGGCTTATGCTTGGTTGGTAATGATCATGTTTGCTCTATCTCATTCTTCTCAGGTCCGAACTACCGCTTTGCTTGCTTGCCGCCTTACTAGGTTCCTTGTTGCAATATTTAAGAATCTTGTCTCTATCTTATGTTTGAGTTTATCCGGTCCTGTTTGGCCAACTGTAACCTTTGTATTTGTCTTTGATTAATGAGATGTATAATTTTTCTCTGTCTAAGTTCTTTTTCGACTGTAATCCTTTGACATTGTAATTTTGTATGTGATCCTTCATACGTCTCTGAGTTGTTTATTCGGTTACTTATTCTTTGTTGTCATTCGGTTGTTGGAGAATTCAATGCATGTCTTCACGGGTTGTATTGTTGCTTGTGGAATATTCTCTTGGATATGCTTGTCCTTGAGTGCCATTCTTTCACGCCAGAGTCCTCTTTCATTGAATTCTGTCTTTTTATTGTATCCTTTATTAGATTTCTTCTATTGGTGCTCCTAGTCCATGTGCACCGCTTCTTTTGCCTATAAATGCCCTTCCATAGTGCTGTTTTGATTCATCGAGCCTTTTGTTACCTGTTCTGAAGTCTCTGTAGTTATGAATATGATAGTGTGTGAAGTAGAGCAGCCCCCGGGCATATTTTATAGTTCTTGTACATTTTTGTTGTAGCTGGAGGAAGTCTTGTGATAGGGATTAGAGGTAGACTAATCCTGCAGCGGCATTGTACTTGGAAGTACGTGGTGGTAGTTGGAGGAAGTCTTGTGATGTGGGCTTTGTTCCTTCATCCGGCAGTTCTGGGTTGATCCTCGCCGTTTGTCTTGAGACTGTCCGGTGCAGATCAACACCTGATCCTGCATCATGTCGGGCTTGGGTAGATAGATGCCTGTCGACTTCCCTTGGTCTATGTTGTCCCACCGTGCTGCTGATTTCCGCCTTGGATGCACTACGTCCGTCCTTTGAAGAAAATAGTGTAGCCAAGCGCGGTTTGTTCTATCGAGTAGCAAATTGGAGCACGTAGTCGTTCTAGAGCCTAGTTGTGTCCGGGCTCCTTTTTGCTACCTTGCTTGTCGTAGTGCCGAGTTCATTGGGTCTTGTAAGATGTGTAATCTTCTATTTTTGAAGCCATTTATAATGGAAAGAATCTTGTCTTCAAAGTTGTCATTCATTTTTTTGCTGTAATCCTAGTTATTCATGAGGCTCCCGAGTTCTTTCTTTAATAACCGGGTTCTTTTGTTCCTTGTGAGGTGGCCCTTTGTTTCTTTATGGTTGACGGGTTGTTCTTGTAGTAATCTAAAAAAACTGCCGTGGTGCTGGATGGATAAGTCTGAAATCTACCCGTTGGATCATACCATTGTGTAGATTTGTGCCTTTTATGAAGAAAGTTTTATCTCCATCCTTATCTTGAGGAGGCTGTTGAACTGCCTGGGATGGCGATTTGGTCTCTATTTAACTGGCCACTCTGCAACTGTTTCACCATAGCCACAATGATGAAGAAGAAGTTCATCCATAGGTAGAGTGTCCGTAAGGTGTCGCGTTCTTCGCTTGTTCGCTCTCCGAGGACGGTCGTGGTGGAGTCATCGAGCGGAAGGTCTTCGTCGTCGCCTTCATTGCCAGCCCCTCCGATGGTGGGGAAGTCTCCCCTTGTTGAGACATCAGCGCCGGTTGTCCCTCTACAGAAGAAGGAGGATCCCTCGGCTGCTCCTGTGGTCACTCTTGTCCCCCTCTCTGCTGCTGACGCTACTTCGACAAGGGCGGATTTGATCGTCCTTAGTAGTGACAGTGAAGATGAGGTTGATTGGGAGGCACTCGCCACCGAAGACGAAGTCGACTAGGGCGCCCTTGCTGTCAAAGATGACGATGATGTTGAATCTGTGGGTAGCGGGTCTCCGGCGAGGAACTGATGATGGCTGGATGCGTTGTCATTAGCCCTCGCTTTGATGTTGGCGTAAAAGATATCGAAGGGCAGATTGTCCGGTCGTAGATTTATCTTGGTGATTTGATGTATGTAGTAGTCATGTTCTTCTATGATCATCATAAACTTTGTTTCCCCAATTTCTCTTTTCCTTTTCTTTTGATGTGGCTTCTTTTGTTTCTCTGTGTGGATGTCTCTGCTTTACTTATTCATCAAACGAATTGTGTGAGTGATCAGGATTTCTTTTGAGCAGTTGCTTCGTGGTACGTATCCGTAGCTTTGAGTAGACGAGTTGTTTCCATTTGTCGTGAAATGACTCTTTGATAGGTGGAGTGCTTTGTCTGGCTTTCGTTTGCGCCATGTAAACAACTCGGTATGTGTAGAACGTCGTCTTGAGAGACTGTCTTCGAGTGCTTTGTCTAGCTCTCGTGCAAACAACTCGGTATTTGTAGATCGTTGTCCTGACAAATTGTTTTCGAGTGCTTTGTCTAGCTCTCGTGCAAACAACTCGGTATAAATTGTTGTTTTGTCAGACTTCATGTTCTTGCTAGTACTGAAAAGACTTAGGATCGGTGATCTTGAGATTGATAAGCCTCTGAGTACTTCATGGTTGAGTTCTAGGAATTTCTTCTTATTCCTTCAGGTCTTTGCCGAGTAGGGATTACCGATGCTTTTTTCCCGGTTTTATGATTTTGTGAAGGGTGGCTTTTACCAGTGCATCAACAATGTGGTTTCGTATGTCTGGGTTGTTGCCCCTGATGCTCCTTTTGGGTGGATTACTGAAGCTTCTGTAATGGCTGAGTTTTCAAGACACTAGGAGGAGGCCAAAGTATAGCTTAGTGGTCTATCAGACCAAATTCTTGATCAAATGAATGTACTTCCTCCTTCTCTTCCGTCTTCTTGAACAGATGTGAAAAGTCAACCTTCTTTTGATGTCCTTGTAATATACTTTGTCTCTGAATTTTTAAGATGTGAGCGGGCTTCGTCCTGTCTTTCTTTTCTTCTTAGATGTCTTTGAATGATATGGACAAGTTTCGCCCTGTCTTTCCTTGTGGCTTTTTTCTGCTTTGCCATAGCTTGTTTCACTCTTGTGATGTAGTAGAGTTGATGGAGTTGATTATACTTTTCTTGGGGTAATCAACCGATTTGTACTGTAGATCGCTCCTTGGGCGAAGTAGTCGATCGTACCGCTCTTTGGGTCGGCGACCGAGTTGTTTTAGAGTGTTTGTGCCGCTCTTTGGTCGAAGTAGTCGATTATACCGCTCTTGGGGTAGATGATCGAGTTGTTGGAGTGTTTGTGCCCTCCTTGGGCAACGTAGTCGATCATGCCGCTCTTGGGGTAGGTGACCTAGTTGTTGGAATGCTTGTGTCCCTTTCTGGGTGAAATAGTTGATCGTACCACTCTTGGGGTAGGCGACCGAGCTGTTGGAGTGCTTGTGTCGCTTCTTGGGTGAAGTAGTCGATCGTACCACTCTTAGGGTAGGCGACCGAGTTATTGAAGTGCTTGTGCCGCTTCTTGGGCGAAGTAGTCGATCGTATCACTCTTGGGGTAGGCGATTGAGTTGTTGGAGTGTTTGTGCCCCTCCTTGGGCAACGTAGTCAATCGTGCCGCTCTTAGGGTAGGCGACCGAGTTGTTGGAGTGCTTGTGTCTCTCTCTGGGCGAAGTAGTTGATCGTACCACTCTTGGGGTAGGCGCGAAATTTGTTAGAGTGCTTGTGCCGCTTCTTGGGCGAAGTAGTTGATCGTACCACTCTTGGGGTGGCGACGAAAATTTGTTGGAGTGCTTGTGCCGCTTCTTGGGTGAAGTAGTCGATCGTACCACTCTTGGGGTAGGCGACCGAGCTGTTGGAGTGCTTGTGCCGCTTCTTGGGCGAAGTAGTCGATCGTACCACTCTTGGGGTAGGCGACCGAGTTGTTGGAGTGCTTGTGCCGCTTCTTGGGCGAAGTAGTCGATCGTACCACTCTTGGGGTAGGCGACCGAGCTGTTGGAGTGTTTGTGCCGCTTCTTGGGCGAAGTAGTCGATCGTAGCACTCTTGGGGTAGGCGATCGAGTTGTTGGAGTGCTTGTGCCGCTTCTTGGGCAAAGTATTCGATCGTACCACTCTTGGGGTAGGCGACCGGACCCGTATAGCACAACCGTTTCTGGGTTGGCTGTTTGTAGGGTAAGTAAGCAATCGTACCAGCTCTTGGGGTAAGCGATTGCGCCCGTATAGCAACAACCATTTCTAGGTTGAGCTATTTGCAGGGCTGCCCCTTTTTCCCCAACCTGATTACGGGTTGATTCTGTCCGTTAGACGGTGCATCGATCATACCATCTCTTTATGGTATAGTGACAAATGCTAGCAGGTCTCCTTACCCAAGAAGCTATTTGGCCGTTGGCCATTAGTCAGACCATCTCCATATGGTTGAGTGACAAGATTGCCCATGTAGCGCAACCGTTTCGGGTTGGTACATTAATGAGGAAGCCCTTTTTCCCCAACTGATTATTGGTTGGTTCACATCCATTGGATGGGGCTCATATTTGAAGTTGTTCTTCTTGAATAATCTCTATTTTATTTCTCTTGAAACTTGAGTACAATCTGTTGTACTTAATTGTAGAATCTTTTGAGTTGGGTGATATGCCAAGTGTTCTTACAGTATTTCATCCGGAGTCATCAACTCGTATGTGCTTGCGGGTCTGTTCTTTGTCTTCACGATGAAGGGTCCTTCCCATGGGTGAGTAGTTTGTGTCGTCCATCTTTCTTACGGATTAGTCATAGTCTTGAGTCCCCCGGCTTTAGTGATCGGGGTTGAGTACTTTTGTCATAATGTCTTTGTAACCCTTCTTGCGATATCTTGCATTTTGTATGATTGCCTTTGTCTCTTATTTCTTCTATTGAATCAATTTCTAACCACCTTGTTTTTCTTCGCTTCACATTCTTCATATTGTTCTATTCTTGGAGATAGCCATATTAAGTCGGCTGTTAGTACTGCCTCTGATCCGTAGACCAGAGAGAACGGTGAGTATCCAGTTGCTCTGGTGATCTGGGTTCTTAGACCCCATACTATTTTTGGTAATTCATCGATTCATTTTCCACCATAATCTTTCAAATCTTCATATAATCTTGGTTTTAAACCTTGTAATATGAGTCCATTTGCTCTTTCGACTTGTCCATTGGCCTGCGGGTGTGCTACTGATGCAAAGTTGATTTCTATCCCACAATCTCTTGCCCAGTATTGGAATTCTCTTGCTGTAAATGGTGAACCAAGATATGTGATTATTTTGTTGGGCATGCCGAACCTATGCATGATGTCTTGTATGAATTCCACTGTCTTTTCTGCACTGTATTTGACCAAAGGTTTGTATTCAATCCACTTTGTAAATTTGTCGATTGCCACAAACATGTATTCGAAGCCTCCTTTTGCTTTTTTTGAGTGGTCCGACTTGATCTAGCCATTGACATGAGAATGGCCAAGTCGGCGGTATGCATATTAAGTTGTGAGCGGCACATGTGATTGCCTAGCAAACATTTGGCAATTCTTGCATGTTACGACGAGCTCTTACGCATCTTTGAGTGCTATTGGCCAATAGAAACCGGTTCGAATGCTTTGCCGACTAGTGTCCTAGAGGTCGCATGATTTCCACTGACATCTGAGTGGATTTCGTCCAAGATTTTCCTTTCCTTTATCTGTCGGAACACATTTAAGCAAAGACTCTCGATGATCTTTGCTCTTTTGTATAGTTTATCCCCCACCAGAACATAGTTTCTGCTTCTTCGTACAACCCGAGTTGCTTCTGCTTTGTCTTTGGGTAGTTTCTTCTCTTTGATAAAATCAATGTATGTTTGTCTCCAATCACTTTGTATGATCATGATTTGTCTTAACTGGTCTGGTTCTTCTGCTTGATCTATTTCCATTGGATATGTTGTCTCCTTCTCTTTTTCTATGTTTTCGAGTTGTTTGATGGATGGGGCTGTGAGTTCTTCTACAAATATACCGGGTGGTACTTTTGCTCTATCTGATCCTAATTTGGCTAGCACATCTGCTGCAACATTGGAATCTCTTAGTACATGATGGATTTTGAGCCCTTGGAAATTTTTCTCCAATTTTCTAACTTCTGCACAGTACGCATCCATATTATCTTTTGTACAATCCCAATCCTTGTTGACTTGATTGATTACTACAGCTGAATCACCATAGACAAGTAGTCTTTTGATCCCAAGCGAGCTTGCAACTCTTAGACCGTGTATTAATGCTTCGTATTATGCCTCATTGTTAGTTGCCTGCCAAAGTATTTGTAGCACATATTTTAACTATCTCCCTTCTGGTGATATGAATAGTACTCCTGCTCCAGCTCCTCCTAACTTTAGGGAACCGTCAAAATACATTTTCCAATGATCAAGTATTGGTTCGGGTTCTTTTTGGATGATTTTCATCCATTCAAAGAATGAAGTCGGATAATGCTTGAGATTTGATTGTTGTTCTTGGTTTGAAGTCTAGGTTGAGAGCTTGAGTTCTCTCGCCCATTTTGATATCCGACACTGTTGCATCTTTGTTGCGTAGAATGTCTTGAAGTGGAAAATTGGTTACCTTTGTAATCTTGTGTTCGTGGAAATAATGTCTCAGCATTCTTGATGATATCAACACTGCATAAAGTAGTTTTTGCACATGTGGGTATCTCACTTTTGATTATGTTAGTACTTCGCTTATGTAATAGACTGGTCTTTGCATTTTGTATGCGTGTCCGGGTTCTTCTCTCTCAACCACAATTGCTGTGCTGACAATGTTCTTGGTTGCTATAATGTATAGCATCATGTCCTCTTTGTCTTTTGGTGGTGTCATTACTGGTGATGATGCCAAGTATTCTTTTAACTTTTGGAATGCTTCTTCTGCCTCTTCTGTCCATTCAAAATTTCCTTCCTTTTTCAATAATTTGAAGA